GCCGCTGCCCGTGCTCTTCGTCGTCGTGGTGCTGGGCCCCGAGAGCCGCCCCGTGAGCTACGGCGAGATCGGCTGCGCCATGGGCACCATGATGGCCGACCGGGTAGGGCTCCTGCACCCGCTCCGCTCCCCGTGTCCCCACGCGCAGGGGGTCCCACGTCCCCTGCTCCACTGGCCCCATGTCCCCATGGCCCAGTGCAGCCCTGTCCCCATGGCCCTGTGCCCCTGTGTCCCTTTACTCCACGTGCCTTCATCTCCTTTGCCCCTTGTGGATGTGGTTCCATGTCCCCATATTGCCATGTGCCCATGCCCCAATACCCCATGCCCTTCGCCCCATGTCCCTACATCCCTGTGTCCCTCTATCCCCTTTGCCCCTGTTCCCCTTTGCCCCATGTCCACACACCCTCATCTCCTGTGGCCTCATGTCCCTTTGCCCCTTGTCCCTGTACTTCCATGTCCCCATTCCCCTGTGCCCCGTTGCCACATGTCCCTACATCCCTGTGGTCCCCCTGTGTCCCTTTGCCCCTTATCCCTGTGTTTCCATGTTTCCATGTTCCCATGCCCCTGTGCCCCTTTGCTCCATGTCCCCACATCCCTGTGTCCCCCTGTCCCCATGCCCCTGTGCCTCTTTGCTCCATGTCCCCACGCCCTCATCACCTGTGGCCTCATGTCCCTTTGACCTTTATCCCCATGGTTCCATGTCCCCATGCCCCTGTGTCTCCATGTCCTCATGCCCCTTTGCCCCATGTCCTCACATCCCTGTGTCCCCATGCCTTCTGACCCCATGTTCCCACGCCCTGTGTCGCCATGTCCCTGTGTCCCCATGTTCTCACGTCCCTATGGCCCCACGTTCAACGTCCCCATGTCCTCACTCCCCTTTGTCCCGTGTCCTCACATCCCTGTGTCCCCATGTCCCCACACCCTGTGTCCCCATGTCCTTACACCCCTTTGCCCCATGTCCTCACATCCCTGTGTCCCTATGTCCCCATGCCCCGTGACCCCGTATTCCCACACCCTGTGTCCCCATGTCCTCATGCCCCTTTGCCCCATGTCCTCACATCCCTGTGTCCCCATGCCTTATGACCCCATGTTCCCACGTCCCGTGTCACCATGTCCCCATGTCCCTTTGTCCCCAGGTCCCCACGCCCCTATGGCCCCATGTTTCACGTCCCCATGTCCTCACGTCCCTTTGCCCCATGTCCTCACATCCCCGTGTCCCCACACCCCACATCCCCGCTTCCCGCGTCCCCACGTCCCCGCGCGCTGTGTCCCCGTGCCGCAGGTGTTCCGCCGCGACGCCTA